TGTCTACAAATAGAACTTAACAAGTTTCATCGAACACACCCATTTTAAGTACAATTTGATTTAATATACGCATCCATTTTCTAGAAATACTTCGTTACATATTTTCATTAGTATTCGAATTTTGTAGTGTTTTTGTTCATAAGAATGTACATATTTGGAATTAGCATAGAAATGTGAACAAAGTCGAGTATTTAGTTAATTAAAATTTCGACTTTTATTTTTCTTGGACATTTCTCAGATCGAATAAAACGTTCAGAAATTTTTTCGTTGAACCCTAATGAAAGATACGTCATTTCATGCAGAATTCGATGCTGGCGACGAATATTTGCTTGCTTTTGACTTTTTTGCTGTCTTCCTGATCCTAACTATGATTTTCGGAAAAGGGATGAAATTCCGCAACGTAACGACCGGTATTTTCTAAAGAACTCAGCTCGACCTAAAAAAAATCGATGAAATTTTTATTGATAGTAGATCTAAATAGTCTCTATCTATAGAAAAAGTTTCAAAGAATTTGCTTTTACCATTGGGAAAAAATCGATGTTACAATTTTAAAAAAATGAAATTCTGTCACTTTTGACCACGCTGTTCTACAAATGGAATGAAATGAAACTCCTTTTTTGTAAATTTATTACATCATCAATTTTCATGGAATTTATTCTTATAACAAAACAACAAAAACAGACGTTTGGATTACTGATTAATATCTATTTCAATATTTTTATATGTCTATCTTTTTTGCTTTACATAAAAAAAAACATAATATAAGAATCTATTTTTTCCGTCAAGATTGACATTTGTGTTGAGAACAATAATAGACAAAAAGCAATAGATTAATGAAAATTTTATGCTTTTCTTCCAATATACGAAATCATACGTTTGCTTTCTGACATATGCATTTTGAGATTATAACTTATGTCAAAAACTAATTATTAACGATAGATTTTCTTTTTTTTGATTTATTTTCTAATATCACTATATACTATCAAATTTATCATAAGAGCGTTTTAAATAGAATATTTTTTTAAAATGACTAATAAATAATTTGATGTATAGTGTCAAACAAATTAAATCTAACAATTACTCGTTTTGTTAAAACATTTTTCTTATTATAATTTTTATAACATGTAAAACTTATTAAATATATAGTTGTAAAGATTCAAAGTATAAAGGTAACAAGAATTAGTAGTTATTTAAATATTTATTGTCCTTCACGAGCTTATTTATCATCATGGAAAATGATAAGACTTTATTAGAGCGCATTTTTTTTCTTTGACCTGTGTTACATTGCAAATATAGCACAAAATTGATAAGATAAGCTACATTTATATACCTACATGTATCAACTAAGTATTCACTATTTCATATTTCTTCATACTTCGTAATAATATGGGCTTTCTTAACGAACGTCTCGTATTCATAATTATTATTGTAGTCCTAAGTATATCGACCCTTTTTTGTCTCATTGGTTTAGCAACACCAGGATGGCAGTTTGGTAGTATATTTGGTAACCTTCATTCGTCGACTGCTGCTTTATCTATAATTTCTTTACTTCTACTTATTGCCTGTGTTGCTATAGCGATTGTTCTTATGTTAGGTATCCTACAATATGAACGTCTTCCGCTGATATTTATTGGATTATTAGTTGTCACTTCACTGTTCTTACTCGGAACATTTACATCAATTATCGCTGGATCTATATACTATTCATACAATTTAATGATAACTTCATTTACATTTACATATCTAACATCCCTTCTTGCGGTGTATTGGTTGTTTGGTTTAAAATCTACAGGCGAAAGTGCTGCAACACCTGCGAGACCATCGTCATGACCTCCCGACCTCTAAAACAGATTGTTACAATATTTAGAGAAAACAATGAAATTTTTTTTTGTGAAAATTAATAAAATTACACAAATCATATTTTATTCCAAGAAACTTTTCTCTTGTATTCTTTCAAATTAAAATAAGATATATATGAAATTGAATCATTATATATTGTTAATAATTTTGATCCAGTAAATAATTCCTTCAATGAAAAAAGATTAGCCTTGTGAATCTTTTGATGGCCTTGATGCTGTCCTCGAATTCATTGAAATATTTATGCATATTATAATTATTTATATGAATTTGTTGCTGAATTTTGTTGAAATCCATGAACTTATATTTGTTCTAAGGATCTTATCATAGTTAAAAAAAGAAGTAGAACAAACTTATCAGAATAAGTATCTCTCTATTTACTTGAAGGTTATTTCTCTCTCTCTCCTTCTTTGACCCTAAATTTTTGGGTTTTTTTTTGTGGCTATTATATAGTCTGAAGTAGTATCCATCTGTTGACTAGGGAACTACTCCAAGTGACAACCGCCGTTTGAACTTATATTGTGCTTATAGGCAGATCTCAATGAGAATAACAAAAGCCTAAAATGATTCGTCTCCGTTAACCTATTTACTGGATTTTTGACCCATTTTTAAGTATTCCTCAGAAGACGGAATAATGAAATTTTGGTCTAAAATGTCGACTATAGATAGGTTGGATAACTCTTAAAATATTCCGAAAGTTTCGGTAGAAAAGAATTTCCAAAAATAGCTCTTTATCACAGACACGTGACCAAAATCGAGTTCACTTAAAAATTCAATAACTCGACGAGGAAATATTCTTTTCAACGGAAACTTTCGGAATATTCTTAATATTATTCAACCTATCTATAGACAAAATTTTAGATCAAAAATCCGTTATTTGTTCTTTTTGGTAGTATCTAAAAATAGGTCAAAAATTCAGTAAACCAGTCATGACTCAGTGTTGAAGGTCAATGAGGACAAATCCTTTTAGACTTTTACTATTCTCACTGAGACTTGTCTGTAGGTCCAATATGAGCTCAGACGGCGAGTGTCACTTGAGATAGATCATTTGTGAGAATATTTTGGGATCTAAACATTGTATTTAAATGTTAAAAAATTCGAGAAGAAATCAAATTAGTGAAAGCTGTACATTGTTTCGCGTTTTTCTCAAACTAATTTTTTTTCACATATATTATATACTATTTGAGACGGATACTTTTTATTGTTTCAAAAAATATTGTTCTGCTGATTTTTAGGATGCCTTCGATATTTCAGCTTTTTTATTCGAAGGACAAAAAATAAAAAGATACTCCCCCCCCTCGAAGAGTGTCCTGTGCCTGTAAAAAAAATTTCGAGCATAGTATCTTGAAGAAAGAGAAACGAAAATTGGAGTTATTTGGATCCAAATATACAGCATCGGATAACTTTGAGCCTCTGACGACTTTTGCTCTACTCGTCAAAATCTTCCTGTTCCAGCAGTGACCGGATTCTGTGAGTGCTGAACTTCTGGAACTTTCAAAACTGAAACTTCACTCATAGAACTCTCGAACGAGTATGGGTTCCGATTCTCTCAATGTCCACAACTACATAGACGGATCCAGAGAATTTTGAAAGGGATGGCGGATGGGAACAAAACAAAAACAAATCATACGAGAAATTTTAGTTTTCTATTTTTTTTTCGTTTTTGAAAAGTTGTTGATAACTCGTTTGATATCAATGTGAATCATTGAACGCACATGTATCATATGACACTACCTAGAGTATATATAGATATATATGAGTGACTTGCAACTTTTTGGTACAATTGAAATGTAAAACTGAAAGTAGGCTTAAACAATTTCTGAGTAGAATATTAAACTCTATGCCTATGTTTAGTGGTAAAAGTTTCCTAGCACTTCACTGAATATGAAGAGCTGAAAATATCTATTGAAAAATCGTCACTCTACATTTTCTGGTATAATGTAAATTTCTTCTGAGTGGTGTAAGATCTAGAATTGAATTTTTTGTTTTATATGTACTGTGAAAAGGAGCGGTTCATTGAAGAGTTATACAGCAGACAATTTGCAAATTGTCCCTCCACAAAACGAGTATAATGACCTTTTTTTTCAGAAACTCCCGCTATCTTTATTCCCGTTATTAAGTTGGTAAGAGAGAAGAGCTTTTCATCAATTTGTTACTGGAAGGCTTCTCTTTCTTTTCATATAGTTTGTACATCGCTGGCTCTATCACAGACAGAGCTAGAATGAAGTCTGGGTCACTATACACGAAAACACATAAGTGTCTATCAAACATTATGTACGTCGGATGCAGAACGAAATAATATTTAAATCAATTATACATATATTAATAGAACGTCGAACGCTGTACAAAATAGACTAATTACATCGTTTTTCTCTTGCTTTTTTCATAGGCGAAAAATAACCTTTTCGTTGCACATGTCAACAAAAACGATAACAGTTTTTGTAATGTATCTTTCATAATACAGCAACAATATGATTGTCTAGCAGTGAGGTGTTCAAAGAGCACAAATATATAAATAAAATTATTCTAAATTTGTCTAGATCAACATATGTTATTAACCAAATACTGCTAAAATTTAAATTATACCAAAAAGTTATAATTCACTCACAGATACAGGTTGTTGTCCTTCTCTGAAGTTGTTCACATCAGAATACAAGCACTATAAATCGAAAAATAGTGAGCAACACATACTATTTGTTTTTGTGAAGCTCATAGAAATACACGCATACTTAGGGCATAGCAAACATCAATTTCAAAGGGAAAGGTGGTTGCCACCTTCGTCTCACCCTGGATATTCCACTGCACAACCACACCCATATTTGAATATCTACGCGAAAGATTGTACTGCTCAGTATTGATCTATTAAAGGAATCAGTTAAAATAATATACAAAAATCAGAAATTTTCAATGAGCAGTCATAAATTATAGTTCATTTTCTCTGCAAAACACTGTTAAATAATAGGCAATAATTCTAGTCAGACAATACGACTAACAATATATATTTATATATATATATATATATATATATATATATGTAACCGATCAACCATATCGTTTTTATTTTCTTCATCTTTGTGACATACGTACGAACAGAATAAACATTTCCAACCGTTATATTTATTCGAATATTTTCTTTTTTCAATATGTATGGATTATTTACCGAAACAGACAAAAATGATTCAAATATTCAAATTTATCACAATATTAAATTTCCATTAGATGATATTATAGATGTTTTGCATCCACTTTTTGGTACAAAATATCCTTTTCAGGAAATGATTTATACAATTTATACAGTCCATCATATTTTTGGTGCATATGATAGACAACAAGGCCGTTGTATTGCTTGTGCATTGATCAATAATGTTAGCAACAATTCAGGTCTTTATATAATGTTATTCGGTGTACAACAATCAAATCAAGGTCATGGTATAGGTACACATTTATTGGAAGCAATCATTCAATGGGCACGGGAAAAAGGATATAGATTTATAAATTTACATGTACATATTGAGAATTATAAAGCAATCGGTTTATATGAAAAATCTGGTTTTCGAAAAAGTCAATATATACCAAATTATTATGCTCATTTACAAATAAATCCACCGCATGCTTTTCGAATGGATTTACCCTTATGATCATACCATAATTTTCATTTAGCATAATAAACTATTTTTTGGAAAAAAAGCGAGGCTTTTAATAAATGTAGAACAAATAAATTTATTATCTTTTTCTTTTTATTTATGACTATACAGAAAGAAAAATACTTGAATTATAATCAAGGCACGAAGAAAAAACGATTCTTCTCTTCATTCAATTATATTAGAAATACTAATAAAACAACAAAGATAAGACATACTAACAGTAAAAAACGATTTATATGGACGGATTATGTATCTTTACATGTATAGTCTAAGTATGAAATTATAGTTTAAATATAAATAATGATAGTTTTCATCTAATAATGTATATAATATTGTTTGTTTTTTTTTCTAATCATTAGAATCCGTAAAAAGCCCATATCTTCGTAAATATTCTTGAGTTTCAAATGATAAACTTTTATCAACAATTTGAGATGTTTGTGGTAATACATCAAGTGTTTTTTGTGATTGTCGATCACATTCAATTGCAACTGCTAATTGATCATCTTCAAGATATTTCATTTCTAAACTATGAACTTCAATGGAAAGATTATTTTCAGATTTCTGTGGAGATGTTGGAAGACGTTCGATTGGAGGTGGAGATGTAGGAACGGATTGTGGATAAACAGTAGTCGTACTACTTTGTTGATTAATAAATTGCATTTGAACACCATTCGAAATAAGACTTATACCAGTTGTTCTTGTCGATGTGACATGTTGTTGTTGTTGTTGTTGTTGTTGTTGTTGAATGACATTAGCTAAATGAAACATATTTTCAGTTTGATGTTCTGTTTCGTTATCATTTAATTTTAATAATGTTGTATCAGTTGAATTATATGTTGTCATTAATGAAGATGTAGATTTTTGTTGTTGTTTATCTATAAATTGAAAAATTGGTTTGAGAATATCGACAGGATTGAGATCTGTAGAAACTGATGGAGGTGGAGGAGATTCAGATTGAATAGATGCAGTTGATTTACGAAGAGATGAATAATCGATCATGGGTTCATGTTGATGAATAACTGATGATGATGACAATGATGATTGAACGTGTGTAAATGGTGTCTTAAAAATAAATAATATATAATGGATTATCGAAGAATAATCTATAAAGTGATATCAGAATCAAGAGTTTGTGAGCGATCATTCAGAAATAGCCGAGTTCACTTTGCAAGTCTGTTTTTCATAGAAATCGAAAAAATTGAGACGATGTGCCTTATTAAAATACTCACTGTTGATAAATGATTTGCAGCAAACTAATCATTATTTATATCATTTTATAAAGAAATGTTTGTTTTTTCACTCACTATTTTTGCTTCTAAGTTTTGGCGCGCTGAAGCTTGTCCATACTCAATTTACGGGAAGTCGTAAAAAAATTTTAATTTTTACGCAATGTTTTCGAATTTCTCCAGGCTCTTTTAAAGGTATCTCTCTCCTTTGGTTCTTCACGAGAGCATAACCTGTCGGGCTAAAGTTTTTTTCTTTTGAAGGTATCTGAAACAAAGTCTCAGAGGTATTTTTAAGTTTTTTGAAAAATGTCAATCTCATGTTTTTTATTTAAAAAAATACAGAAAGCATAAGCCGGGAAAACGATTTTTGAGTTGATGCTTTCTGAACACGATCTAAAAGGATTGTTGAAGTGTAAAATTTGTACCCGCCCCACAGACCATGACAGACGTTATTGATATATAGTCATAACATTTTAATCTCGCAGGGATTCTTCAAACAGGTTTTTACAATTTAAACTCGAGAGATTGATATTTTTCGAAAAGCTTAAAAACACCTCTGAAACTTTGTCTCAGGCATTTTCAGAAAAAATCTCAGCCCGATCGGACATAGTAAAACCGGGATCGTAAGTAGGCTTGAAGATCCATTGATACACTCCTCCTCCTACAAAGACCTGCTTTTAAAATTTCTCCTCTCGACATGGAGTGCCATCATTTTCGACAATATGGCTGTGAAAAAGATTTTAGCTCGACAAGTTGTACTCTCGCAGAGAACCAGAAGTGGTCTATAAAAGGAAGATTTCTCTTCAGAGACTGAAAAAATGAGTAAACATTTGTCAAATTACTTTTCAATAACTAGTTATATAGTAAATAAACTTACTGTATTAGTTGCAGTTATGAATGATGTTTGTTGTTGACAATGTTTAATGTTTGATGATAATGGTTCACTTTGTACAGCAACATCACGTTTAGTCGATTCTTTTATTGGTGTTAATGGTAAATGATTTTGTTGTTGTGGTTGTTGATTAGCTAAAAGTTGAGCAACAAGTGCAGTTAATGATTGAATATGATTATCATATGATTGCATTCTTTTAATTAATTCTTCTTTCCATTGAATATCATTACTAATTGTTGTTGATGATGTTGGAGATGAACACTGTTTTGATCTAGAAGATTCATTTAATGAACGTATATTTTGTTTAGGAGTTGCTATTGTTGTTGTGGATAATAAATCCCATGAAGGTGATTGATTTATTGATTGTCTCGGTGGTAAACGAGGTACACCAAATAAACTTCCATTTGTATTAGTTGATGAAAGTGTAGTTTGATGATGATTATTATTATTATCATCATGAGGTATTTTTGTTGAAATACAAGATATATCCGGTGGAAATTGAATATTATTAATTGATTGAATAGGAAAAGAAATATTTTCTAATATTGGAGAATTTTTTGGTTCCTCATAAATACGTTTGAATTCAAAATCATATGGAATTTGTGTACTCGAATTTTCATCATATTGATCTAAAATTGAATTTGGTATGATAATATTTTTTGAACATGTCCATAAATCATAATCAATAGTCATTGATGATAATGAATTGGTTGTTATTAAACAAACTTCATAAAAATTCCATTGATTATATGATGTTGATAAATAACATGCAAGTAAAAATGATTGTTGCGAATTGATTCCAGAACGAAGACGTTGTTTTAATGATGAATTCATACAATAACGAATACATGCTGCCCAAACAAATGCACATTGAATATTGGTAATATTTGATACCCAACTAAAATAGATAAGAATATTTTTATGTCTTGAAAGACCTTTCTTTTTTCTTTTTGTGTTTTATATTCTTACATTCCAACTAATGGTAATGAACATGCTTGTGGATCATTTTCAAGTATAAATAAAATTTTATTTTTTGTTGTTCGATCTAAACTACAATAACCAAAATGTGATTGATTCATATGAATAGTATTTTCTTTTGATGAACTAAGTTTTTTAAATAAAGCTGTTGGTAATATATGAATATAATCAGAGTTAATTGGTGTTAATGTAAAACTATTTTTTATTGTTATAAGATCAAATGATAAATCAATATTTAAAGATGTCGAATTCATTGATGACATTTGACCACAAAGATATGAATATCGATGTAATTCAATTGGTAAGGATGAATGACAATAATCGTCAATTTCCTACAAAAAAAAACACAAAATTTTTAATGTAACATATAAAATAAATATTATGATAAAATTTCAATCGTACAATCTTGTATTTTCTTTTTAAGAATCAAGAAATTGTACATACCTAAAATCTATTTTACTCATTAGAGTCCATTCTTGTGCTACATAGAAAAAAATTGAAATGATTTTTGCATTAACTAGTGAACCTCTCCAGATGTCAAATCACATTTCAACCGAGATTATGTTCATGTCGTGAATGCTAGAGAGTAATAGAAAAATCTAGAATAGCTTGTTTTTCCGAACCTTCGTACTTGAGATATCGAAATTTTATTGGATTTTTCAGCAAAAGCTGTGTTTACGTGAGAAATCAACGTTCGACTTCAAACTTTGTACGAACACACATCGTAATGAGATTAGTTGATTGTGAAACTCGTATTTCATATCTGAAGATGTAAACATATGAACGCTTTTACACCAAAAATGTTCATGGTGTCGCTGCGGCGATAGTGGCAGACTTTTTGCAAAAACCATTGCGACGTGACAGCGTCGCGTTGACAACAGCTTTTTTGGGAAGATATTTTCAACATACATGAATTTACATAAAATCTCGATGTTCATATATGTGATACTGTAAGACTTGGCAAATCTGCTCGATTAGTAGCAGCAGTTCTAGTTCAAACCAGCATGGCCTTGAGAATTGAAACATTTTTCTAAATAGTGCGTCGTGTTGTGGTACATTTCCTTGGTTGTCGCCGCGACACGACAGTAACAGATTCTTAGTTGCAGTGGATATCTATGTTTTACACATAAGGACATTTCGAATATTGAATATCTCAGAGTAGGAAATATTAGAAAATTTATAACTTGCCCAATGAACTAATCCTCTTAAGAACTTTGTTCATGGAAAGTTTGAAGTCGAAAGTCAATTTTTCACGAGAACATAGCTTTTGTTGAAAAATCCGGTAAAATGTCGATATCTTAAGGACGAATGTCCGGAAAACCAAATCATTCTAGATTTTTCTATTACTCACTAGCACTCATGAAATAAACACCATTTCGATCGAAAAGTAATTTGATATTTGGAGATGTTCTCTCGTGAGTCGCAAGGTTATGATCTTTCAAATGTAATAGAAGGCCATTCTATCCGAACAAGTGCAAAATAGCAATGTGAATCATCGAATAGATTAGTTCATCGCTTTGCACTATTTAGTTATAGCTTCTTTGTTCTACACATTTTCTATTAATGAGCAAACGAGTTTCTTTCGTAAGCTAAAAAGTGCGTGTACGCATAGACATTAATGAAAGGCAGCTGTTCACGAGCTGGCAAATAGGAAATAAAGATGTTTTAATACTATTCTATATTAAAATTCACGAAGTGCTGATTACATATGAATGTATGAATAAGAAAAGTAGTGTGATGAACACATCACTTACATTATTGAAAAATATAGAACTGGAAAAGTATAGAAGTCAATATTTGGTTCGTTGATAACGATCAAAGTTCTCATATAATTTCGAAACTCTAATTTATCGAACTTAGTCCACTCATGTACTTGTAAGCAAATTAAATGACAGCTACAACATAAAAATATTTAATTGCAATAAAACCTTATGCTCTGTACGTTATTATTCTGTGAGGAAGTTTAATAATAACAAAATCAAAGATAGTTATATCAGTTGACTTGCTTACTTTAATTCCATCCTGTATGCAATTATTAATTGTTGTTGAATTTTTATTAGTACATTGAATAGGTATAAGAAATTCTCCAGTTAATGGTTGATGATTATGAAATTCATTTGTTATTGAATCTTTTAATATTAAACGATCGATAACATATGTTAAACGTTGTGATTCATCATCTGTTACTAATGTTCCAATAAATTTTATTTGTGAATGATATGTTGAATTATTTTTTAAACGAATAGCTGAACGAAATACTTTATCTTCAAGTATTAATTGTGGTGATAATTGTTCATATTGACAAAAACGAAGAAAAAATGATCGACCAATGGGTGTTGAATCCCAGAATGATGAACAAATTTCAGTTGATGTTGTCTGAGGAATCATTCTTTTTTTTTTTTTTCATTCAATCACATCTTCAAATAAAAGAAAAAGAGAATATGCATGAGATTTTCAAGATTTTTTTTCACAATAGAAATAACAATACAAAAAAACCATTTGATTGTAGTTTATATTAATAAATTTTATTGATTAAAATACATTTCATCATTATCATTATTACTTTATCATATATCGAAATCAATTATATGAAATTATTTTCATTTTTTGTTTCGATCGTCTTTTTTTTTGTTATATATCATTGTTAATAAAATTTTCGATATGAAAACATGTAGACATGTTCCTTATTACATATGAAAATGGTTTATTTTCTGTAAAAATAGCATTTTTTTCATAGAAATATTTGACTAGTTGGAAAAGAATAATTAATGAAAAATTTGAAATTCAAAAACTAATTTTTTTCCACGAAAAATCCCTTCTGACCTTAAACTTTTATTCTGAAAAATTAACAAACTATACATCCTTCAATAGAGTCCCTTATACCGATTCTGAATTTGTCTTTATTATTTTTTTCTAACAGTACTTCTGAGTCGAGAAAAGAAGATCTGAGAACCAAATTTTTTTTTTTACAAAATCTTATCTAAAATCTAAATCATTTGTGCATAGAGGGTAGTCGTGCTAGATATAGAAGAACATTATGTAAAAATTTCCTTGAAATCTAAGTTGC